TTGTAGAAGATAACCAAATATATTTTGACTAAAAATTTATTATGCTCTTTATAACCTTACAACATCTGCAAGATTTCAAAGCATTCGGTTTTGTAGTTCCTGATTAAATCAATAAAATAAATTTACGCATTCATTAATTTTTTTGAGTCACCCTGTATATGCAAATCGAAAAAATTTGAATGGAATGATAAATCACAAGAAGAGACTCACCATATTTTGTACATTTTAGATAGGATTTATTCAGCAAAATTTTGTGGTGACATCATAAATTTTTTAGGGGGGACGACCAAATACGTTTTCATCAAAAATTTACCATGCTTATGATAATTTTAAAATATCTTCAAGATTTCGAAGCATTCGGTTTTGTAGTTCCTGAGTAAATCAGTAAAATAAATTTACGCTTTCATTTATTTTCTTGAATCACCCTGTATATGCAAATCCAAAAAATATGAATGGAGTGATAGATCACAAGTACAGACTGATCATATTTTGTACATTTTAGATATGATTTATTCCACAAACTTTTGAGCTGACGTCATCAAGTTTTTGGAGGGGATAAGCAAATATTTTTTGACTAAAGATTTATGATGCTCTTTATAGCCTTAAAACATCTGCAAGATTTCAGAGCATTCGGTTTTGTAGTTCCTGATTAAATCAATAAAATATATTTACGCATTCATTAATTTTTTTGAGTCACCCTGTATATGCAAATCCAAAAAATATGAATGGAGTGATAGATCACAAGTACAGACTCATCATATTTTGTACATTTTAGATATGATTTATTCCACAAACTTTTGAGCTGACGTCATCAAGTTTTTGGAGGGGATAAGCAAATATTTTTTGACTAAAGATTTATGATGCTCTTTATAGCCTTAAAACATCTGCAACATTTCAAAGCATTCTGGTTAGCAGATTAAAAATTAAATTTCAAAATATTGTTTTATAATTTTGATTTTTTTTCCAAAAATCTGGACGTTTCGGATGAAAAGTCGATTCAGAGTTGTAAACTACATGTGTAGGACTATGTTATTTTATACAATTGAAGACCCATTTACTATGTACAATTTTGAAGTGACGTCATCGCATTAGTGGTGGGGATGATTAGACAAATTTTGGTTAGCGCTTTACCATCTACATGATATTCTTAATATAAGTACAAAATTTCACAACAATCGGTCGAGTACTTTCGGAGATTATCTGTCTAATAAAAATCCGGGACAACAGACGGACAGACGGACAGACGGACGGACAGACGGACAGACGGACGGACAGACGGACAGACGGACAGACGGACGGACAGACGGACAGACGGACAGACAGACGGAAATGGGAGACCTATTTCTTCGTCTTCTAGGGGTCATGAAAGATCGAGAAAACGTAAAAGTAGAGAGTCGGCCGACGGACTCGATTACAATACTTCCTTTGCTTACGCTCGGGAAGTAAAAAGGCCAAATATAAGCCCCGCCCACCCGCTCTGTCTCAATTCTGATGACTTTTTTATAGGTACGTTGTAAGCCGAGGGGTCTGGAGCTTAATTGTAAAATACTTATTTTTCTACGAGAAATTACCATGTGAAATATGTTCTTACGGAATCGGGTTATAGAAAGAAAACTAAATGTAGTAATTAAAAAAGAAAACCAAAAGAGAAGCCCCACCCATCCGTCTCGATCTCAATCGTGATGAATTTTTCATTCGTTGTCAGACCGAGGGGCGGGGCGTAATTGCAAAATCGGTATTTCCCTATACAAATTTACCATTTTAAACATGTTTTAAGTTGTTTGTTCTGAAAAGACCACTACATATATTAAGAAAAAAGGCAAATTATAAGCCCCGCCCACTCACCCTATCGCAATTGTGATGATTTTTTTTATTCGTCATGAGCCAAAGGGGCAGAGCGTAACTGCAAAATCCTTATTTCTCTACGGGAAATTAAGAACATGTTTTTGAGTATCGTGTTGTTCAAATAATATTAAGAACAAATTAAAGCTAAAAATTAAGCCCCACCCACACCTGCCTTGATTTAAATAATAATAAAGGTTTTATTTGACAGACCTAGAGGGGTGGAGCCTAATTGCAAAATCCACATTTCCTTACAAAAATGTATCATTTTTAACGTGCTTTAAGGTTCTAAGAAGAAGAACAATCATCACAATTGAGATAGGGCGGGTGGGCGGGCTTACATTTTGTCCGCCCCATAATTGCAAAATCCATTCCTGGCAAAAATTTTCACCATGTTCTAAGTTTCTTGTTGTGAAAACATAGCTATGTATTTTAAGAAAAAAGGCAAAATATAAGATGGAAAATCGAAAATTTTAAAAGTCCCGAAAATTCAAAAATTGAAATATAGAAGAATGGAAACTCGAAAATTGAAAAATCGAAAGTTTAAAAAACGAAAAACTGAAAATCGGGAAATCCAGAAGTCGAAAAATCGTAAGCTTATAAAATCGAAAAATTGAAGAAGCAAAATCCTGAGAAATTGAAAAATTGAAACATCAAAAACTTGAAAAATCGAAAAATTGAAGAATTGAAGAAGCGAAAAATCGAAACTTTGGGAAGAAATGGGAAAAAAAAGATTACTTCAGAAATCGGAAAACTGAAAATTTAGAAACGTCAAAATTTGAAAAATTAAAAAATTGAAAATTCGAAATATTTAGAAATCTTAATATTGAGAATTTGTGTTATTGAAACATCGGAAAATTGAAAAATCGAAAAATGGAGAACCCGAAAATTTGAAGAATGGAAAAATTGAAAATGCCCAAAATTGAAGTACTGAAAAATTGAAACGTCTAAAGTAGAAAAATCGACAAATCTAAAAGCCGAATAATCTCAATAATAGTTATTTTTGTTACAAGTACCTAAAACATAGTTTTTTGGGACGAATTTTGCTGTTTCCGGACGAGCCGAAGGCGAGTCCGGAATAGCAAATGAGTCCCAAAAAACGTTTTAGGTACGTGTTACAAACAATATTTTTTTGTTCAAGCTCCCAAAACACCTCAAAAACCATTTATAAAAACGACTAATTTTGACAAACGAAGCAAATATTTATTGAAAAGTGGACTAGTGGGCTGCCACCATAGTAACTACAGTGTTTTGTAAACACGAAAAAACCTGACATTTTTTTTGCACAAAATGCAGAATCCCGCACATATTACGGAAAAAGCAAAGGAAATCGTACTAGATTTACTTCCAGCGAAGTCTCGGCAAATGTACGAAAAGGAATATCAAATATTCCTACGATGGAAAGAAGAAAAAAAAATTGTAGTAGTAGATGAAGATGTAATGTTAAATTATGTTCATGAAAAGGTAAGTGCCGCCTTTATGTTCAATATTTATAAGCCTTACACATGATTATCGTGATAATTTCCGTATTTTGTTACAGTCACAAGAAGTAAAACCATCCACTCTGTGGTCAAAATATTCAATGATTAAAGCTGTTTTGTCTGTCAAAGAAAATATTGAAATAAACAAGTTTTCCAGAGTCATTGCGTTTTTAAAGAGAAATTCAGTAGGATACGAGCCCACGAAGTCAAAAGTTTTGACACGTCAAGAAATTGACACATTTTTGACAAATGGTGTGTGTGGTGCATGTAGGCGTGAGGAGCTACATTCACTAAAAATTCAAGATATTGTCCAAAAAGACGAAGAATGTCTAATTATAACAATTCCTGATACTAAGAGCAACATTAAGAGAGTCTTTCCACTGATAGCTAAAGGCAAAGCTGTCAATGGCCTGGAATTATACCAGAAGTTTTTACGATTACAGCCCGAGACAGTTTAACACGATTATTTTTTCATTTGTTTTCGTAATGGAAAATGCACTGTCCAACGTGTAGGAATTCATTCTTTTGCGAAAATGCCCTCGGTTGTTGCTGAATTTTTTAACCTGCCCAATTCCAAGGAATATACAGGGCAATGCTTCTGACGAAGTTCTGCATCTCTGGCGGCTGATAGTGTAGTATTAATTTATTATTTGCCTTACAGGCTTAATAATATTCCCAGTAGGGGTACAAATTAACTTAATCTACCTCATATAAATCCATAATAATAAAATAAATAAAATAAAATAAAAATTCGAGTGTTATATAATAAATATTCTATTCTTTCTGCTTGCCCACCCCTTGCCATAGTTCCCTTATCTTCTTTCATCCAGTCCAGTCCTCTTCCATCCTCGTTTAGCACTTCTTCCCTACTTTCCTCCGATTCTCTCAATCCTTCACATCCTTCCAGCATATGCTCTATTGTTTCTCCCTCTCTCCAACATATCCTACACCTTCTGTCAGTTTCATCCATCCAAAAAGTATTCTCTTTCTCTTCATTTCCACACCTAAATCTCGCCATCATTCTTTTCTCCTTTATACTTTCTCTGTGTGTGTACTTTGGTACTTCATCCTTTACTATTTTTCTATAGTCTGCATTATATCTAGACTCCGATATTCTCGATCTACGTTCTTGCTTATCTATATCCTTATCTCTTACACTCAGCTCTTCTTTCATACTCTTTCCCATTTCTCTCATTCTCTCTATTTCTTCACATGCATATCCCTTTCCTTCATAATACTTGTCCCTTTCGTTCCAAACATGTTTTCCCCCTTCCTTTCTTATTTCTTTCCAACATTCTTGCAATATCTTGCAATCACCTCTCTCACTGAACTTCTCTTCAAATCCAACCGCCCTTTTACCCGCTTCCACTCTCATTTTCTCCCTTTTTGTTTCTTCTCTCACTATATACCCCGGCGTATACTTTTCCAATCCCAATGTCCATTTCAAGTATTTTTCTTGCACTCTCTCTATTTCTTCATATTCCCTCCATCCCCAAATCTCAGCTCCGTACATGAATACACTTTTGACCAAACTATCAAACATCATTATTCTTCTCTTATAATCATGTCCAAATTTTCTCTCTCCTATTCCCCATACTATTCCCACCACTTCGTTGGCTTTTTGGACCATTTCTTGAATATGCGCTCTATCTGAGTTATTGCTCTTTAATGTATATCCTAAGTACTGGAATTCTTTCACCTGTTCAATCTTCTTCCCTCTCCATGCCCACTCTTCCTCCTCCTTTCTTACTTTCTTCCCAAACACCACCATTTTTGTTTTTTCCACATTCACTTCCAATTCCTTTTTTTTACATACTTCTCCAAACTTTTAATCATTGCTTTCATTTCTTCTCTTTTCTTTGCCACAATCACCAAATCATCTGCGTACGCCAACGACCACACTTTCTCTTTGCCGACTACCACCCCTCCTGTCTGTGCTTTTCTGAACATTTCATCTATATCTCCTAGATAAGCTGCAAACAATGCGGGGCTGAGTGGGCATCCTTGTCTCACTCCTCTATTTGTATAAAAACTCTCACTCTCTATTCCATTCACTCTCACCGTATTTACTGTTTCTTCATATATTTCTTCCATTTTCGTTACCAAGTATGCATCTACTCCCTTTCTCCTCAAATACTTCCACATTTTCTCTCTATTCACGCTATCAAACGCTGTTTTGAAATCTATGAACAATGCGTACATTCGTCCACCTTCTTTCCTTATTTCTCTTCCCACTAAATGCCGCAGGATGTACACATTGTCTATAGTACATCTTCCTTTCCTAAACCCTGCCTGACCATCTGGTAACATACCCCTTGCTTCCATCTCCTTTCGTAACCTCTCATCGAGTATCATTGCATATATCTTGTACGCCGTATTGAGCAAGGTAATCCCTCGATAGTTCTTCACATCACTTTTTTTTCCCTTTTTAAATAATGGGATTATTATACCTTCTCTCCACTGCCGAGGAAACCCTTTTCCCTTCCAAACTCCATTTACCACTTCCCATATCTTTTCTTTCACTTCTTCTGTCCCGAACATCCACGCTTCGTTCTGGATTCCATCCTCTCCTGGTGCCTTTCCTCTTTTCAGTCTTCCAATCTGTCTTTCTATTTCATCTTTTGTTATTTCCGAACCTCTCCACATTTCTTCCATCGTTGTGATTCCTTTATTTATTTTGCAGCATTTTTCCTCACAACCTCCCAATAATTCCATAAAGTGTGTTTTCCATTCATGTATTTTGATTTTCCCGCTGATTTCAGTCTTCCTTCTCCGTTTCTTGTTTATATATCTCCATACTTGCTCTTCTGTTTTCAGGGACTTTATTGTCTTCTCTTCTTCTTCTCGTTTTTCTCTTTTTCTTTCTTCCCATTTTCTCCTATAATTCTCTCTTGCTTTTAGGTACTCTTCTTTCCTTCCCTTGTTATTCTTCCATTTTCTTAATTTTTTACTTGCTTTTCTCTTCAACTCACTACATTCTCCGTTCCATCCATTATCCCTCCCTTGCCATATGTACATCTTTCTTTTTTCCGTAGCTTTTACAATTAGGTTGCTCAGTTCCACCATCATAGCTTCTATATCTTCTTTTACTTCGAATTTCTTTTTTTCAAGTCTGCTTCTGTAACTTTGAATTCCCTCTTCATCCCATATTCTTTTTTCTATTTCTTTTCTTCCGTTTCTTCTCTCTTGTTTTTCGTACTCTTGCTCTTTTCCTTTGATTTTTGTTTCTAGCGGCATGTGGTCTGATTCTACCCCCTTTCCCCCACTTTGAAACTCTCTATTTCTTCCCACGCCTCTTCGTTGACAATCCCATAATCTATAATTGATTCTCCCCTCGCCCCTACGTACGTCCATTCTCCTTCTTCATCTCCTTCCTTGTTTCCATTCAAAATTTCCCATCCCATTTCTTCTATTATCTGCCACAATATTTTCCCTTCTTTGTTATTTGCTTTATCTTTTGATCCTCTTTTCTCTCCCTTTTCTTTATCTATTATTCTTGTCCCCTTATCGCCCAATCTTGCGTTAAAATCCCCTCCTATAAGTATTTTTTCATCTCCTTTTTCTTTTGTTTCCATTTCTATGTTTATCTTGGTTTCCTCCATTTTCTTACTATAAACGGTTATTATTTCCCATCGATTGTTATCCAGCTGTATTACTTTCTTCATTAGTCCTTTTTTATTATTACTTCCCTTTTCCAATTCTTGCATTTCTTTTCGAATTCCCATTACTATTCCCCCGCTTGCTCCCCCCTTTTTCTTTTCCTTTGTCGCCCCTTGACACTCCCACACATATTCTTGTGGTAGTGTCTCTTCCAATTTCTCCCAGTTTTCTCTTTGCACCCAAGTCTCTGCTAGCCCCACAACATCAAATTTTCCCACGTAGTCCCAGAACTCCTTTTCCTTTTTTCGCAACCGTTGGACATTCCAAAACAGTACCTTCACCCCTTTTTCTCCTAATTTTGTACCAGCTTCCCTTTTTCCGATTTCCCTATCTACATCCTTTATTCCTTTTCCTTTTCCTTTGCCTTGCTTGCTTCCCGTTTTCTTCGTTTTCTTCCTTCTCTTTTGGCTCTTTACTAAAAATTTTCTGCCTTCTACAGTTAACTTTTTATATCCCATTCTAACCATTTTTCCTTTATTTCTCTCTTTTGTTGCCTCTTCTTTTATCTTGTTTTGAATTTTTCTTTCCGTTTTCGTCAGATCATCATTTATGTAAATTGACGACCCTTTTAAGTTCTTCTTGCTTTTCATTACATTTATTTTTTCTTCTCTGTTTTCGAATTCCACTACATAAACTTTCTCTGCAATTTTGTACTCGCTTTTAACTTTACTCTCTACTTTGACTTTCTCTTCTAAAAATTTTGTCACTTTTCCAATTATCTGCTTCTGCTCTCCTGTTTCTATGTCCAATCCCATCATCACTACTTTATTTCTTCTCTTTTCCCTCTCCATTCGATCTAGTTGACTTTCTACTTCACCCACTCTCTTTCCCATTTCTTCCTTAGCTCTCTTCCATTCTTCATACTTATCTCTAATTTCTTGATTTTGCCCCTGTAGTTGATCTCTTGTTTGCTTTAATTCTTCTCTTATTGTTTTAAGCTCCTCTTTAAGCTGTGTATTCCATTCGTTCAATAATTGTTTGTTGCTATCTCTTATATCATCTCTAATTTGTGTCGCAAGTTCGCTGATCATCTTCTTGACCTCCTCCATCTCTATATCTTCTTGATTTTCCTTCTCTCTCGATTGCAGGGGTGATCTTACTGTTATTTTGCTTCTTTGGAAGACCTGCTCGTTCTCTTTCGGCGACTCTACTTCTCTATCCCTTTTCTTTCTTTCTGTCCCTTTACTACTCATTACCTCTTTGTCTTTGACTTCCTTCACGGCGGAAGGATATAACCCAGATCGTCTCTTCGGAGGTTATTCTCCTATCCGTGTTTACGTTTATCCGATATCTGGCGGCTGATAGTGATGTTGATTTAATCTCCCTGAAACGGCTAGGAGGATGGAAGTAATTTTTTTGCAATATAATTATTGTTTTCTTCTAAATAGTAACAAGCTTTAGGTCGTCTTCCGTCGCAGAAACATATATACAGGGTGTTATTGAAAGGTACGTACAACAAAATGGACAGTTCTTCGCGAAGTCTAAGAAGTCGGAAAAACTTACTTTGTCTTATCAAAATTTTAAGGGGAAAATTAACCCTTATCCAATCTTTTTAGACGCTACTGAAGGATAAATAGGTAAAATTAATTTATTTTAGTAAATCCTAGCAACTGTAACAATAAAACTTTTGTCAATACTAAATGTTGCTATAGAAAGGAAAGATGATCTTTTTATCAGAGGCGTACAACGAATTTGGACATAAATTTTAATAATTTTTATCTCTAAAAGGAGAACACTTTTACCTGAACTTTTTTTAACTTTTAGCACCCATACTTCGAGACCAATTGCCGATTTTATTTTGTACGTACCTTTCAATAACAGGCTGTAGAAGAATCTGTTGAAAGGAAGAAGAAGATATGCAGACAGTTATTGGGAGAAAAGCAAAACGAACCATGGACTAACACACTATTAGTTACTACTAAAACTACTTCCACGACATCAAGAGACATCAGCCTGATACCTTCAAGCTCCTCAGGTATTTCGTTTGGACACAACAGTTTTCAAGGAGCTCAAAACTGTTCATTCCATTTTCATTTTGAGAAACAAATATTGTATTGTTGTATCTACTCCTTTAGAATAAATGTGGTTATTTAATTATTGCTTTTATACTAGTACGAAAAAGACATTTTACGGACACTTTTGAATCCCTAAAATAACCATTTTTGTGAGCGTGTACAAAAAAGATATTTTGAAATCTCCCACCAACGCAAATTTTTGTTTAAAATGTGTTGCAGTTGGCTTCTAACTTATAGTTGTAGCTAGAGTGGAATAAAATTAGGCGCAAAAGAAAAGATGTTTAGTGTTGGCGCCTTAGCTGACGAAAATTTTGAATGTCAGTTATTATCAAGGGCGAAGCATCCTTGAAATACAATAAATTGATAATAAGTGATGAAGTGTACAGAGTAGAAGAAACAGAACTAGACAAGCGAAGATCAAATGAAAAAGACGAAAAGATAGAGTTCAACCTAAAAACAACGATAAATAATCGATTGATCACCAGAAAAATGAAAATAGCTAAAATTTGGAAACCAAAAAACAACAAAAAAAGATAAAGACAGAGATAAGGTGGCGAAATAAGCGGCGAAAATGTACACGAGCAAGGAGAACGGAAAGAGAAACTGGTAGGGGAATAAGTGGAATAAATGGAAATAAATGAAGTGGTGAACGATGCGAAAATTAATTGGTTCGCAATAAACCAGTGCTCAGCCAGACAAGTAATCTTAAATTTTTTGTTCCCAATTTCTTGTTAGTTTTAAACCTGTAGTCTGTAGTACTTATTATTGTATCGTACAAGGAAACATGTGTATCTGTTATGTATTCAGGTAAATGTTTTAACAGCAAGAAAACAACTCATCTATGTGCCTTTATTAAAAAACTGCAAAATTACAATCATGCCACAACACAAAAATTCTTCAGTTTCTAATTTGTGTCGTTTCATTAAATGTCGGCGGAATAGCACGTTCTCTAACAATTTTATTGAGTAAAAAGTCATATATTTTCGTAGTACTTGACACCTGTAGAGGTGTTAGTCCGTTTGCGTCCACCACGTATATATTTGCACCACGTTCGACCAAAAGTTTCACACCCTCGTAGAACCCATCTTCACAGGCTAGATGCAAGGGTGTCTTGCCCAACGTCCCAAAAACATCCAACAATGCTCCACTATCAATAAGCAGAGTTAATATTGGCAGATTCCGGGAGAGGTTATTTAGCGGTGTGTTGTTAAAGCAGTCTGTAGCGTTCACTTGGGCACCAAACTCTATCAACCGTTTCACCCCTTCGTAGTGACTTACGCTTGCGCAGAAGTGTAGTGGAGTCTTGCCTTCATCGTCTCTACTATCCACAAAAACCCCTTTCTGTATCAAAAATGTTATTATGTCAACGCCGCTTCCCATACAAGCAGCATGAAGAGAGGTTTGCCCAGTGAAATTAACATCGTGTACGGAAGCTCCCCTTGCCTCCAAAAGACGTACGATTTCGAGCTGGTTTTGCATACAGGCTAGGTGCAAAGGTGTCCACCCTTCACCGTCTTTGGCATTCACATCGACGTCCATCTCCAGCAAAAGTCGGACAATCGCACAAAGTCCCTGTCGACAAGCCAAATGCAAGGCTGTATTGCCTGAAATATCAGTCGTTTTGGGATCGACGGTTCCACATTCTAGCAAGATCGTAGCACACTCCAGTCGTTTTCTCCGACACGCCAAATGCAGAGGCGTCTCCCCGTTCAAGTCTCTGCCATTAACCTCAGCCCCAGCTTTTATTATTAGCGCCCTAGCAATCCTCCCGGACCCCTTCTCACACGCTATGTGGAGCGCAGTCCTCCGGGAATAATCCTCCACGTTGACCAAGGGATTCATCGTCAGCATTGTATTCACCACCTTTGACATTTTGTTTTCGCAGGCTTTGTGCAGAGGTGTCTGCCCATTTTCAATTCTGATGTTTAGAGAAGCCCCATGCAGAGTGAGAACCTGGACGGTATAGTAGTTGCCCTTTTGACAGGCGTAATAAAGTGGTGAGTGGCCGTCCAAGGTCATGGCGTTTACTTGGGCGCCCTTCGTGATCAAGAATTTGACGACCTGGGGGTAGTCCTTCATGCAAAGCACATGCAAGGGAGTGTTGCAATGTGCGTCGAGGGCGTTGGGGTCGGCGCCTCTTTGGAGAAGTAACTCTATGACGTCCATGTTGCCTCTTATGCAAGCTGCGTGGAGTGGGGTTAGTCTTAATCTGCTTCTGACGTGGATGTTCTCACCTTCATCGAGGAGGAATCTGACCTTGACGCAGTCGTTTGTGAGACAAGCTGTATGGAGTTCCCTCCATTTGCCTGAAAATTGAATCGAAGTGGTAATGAGAATGTTTATGAGTAATTGGGTGGTTTATGAGACGTTTAATTTGTGCACAATGTGGACAGTACTGGACAGTACAGCAGTTACAAGTCCACAGAATTGACTATGGACATTTTCTGTACAAATCGACCAAGTTTAAAGTTTATTCATTTGAGACAATGGAGAAAGTTAAGTCAAGTCGGGTCAGGTCAGGTCAGTACAGGTTACATCAAGTCAGGTCAGATTATGTCAAGTTGGGTCAAGTTTTAATTAACTAGAGATATTTTTATGCAAACAATATATTTCTTTTATAAAAAATAGGAGTATGAGATTTGAAAATTTGCTAACAATTTAAGAAAACTTTCATGAATCGACTGCTTTAAACGAAAATGCCGTTTTGGAGTTACGTTCCGTTAAATTTGAAATATTTCATCAGCTGTATCCGTGACGGTGGTAGCCGTAGTTGTTGTATGAAGTTCCAGCAGAATTTTTCACACTTTTCAAAATAACTTCATTTTCACCAGTTGAGTTATTTGAAGTGGAAGTAGAAGGTTGAGGTGTAAAAAAACTTGTGACTTTTCGTCATTTTGCTAGTTCCTGTTCACGTTGAAGCTTAAGTTTCCTCTTTTGGCTTCCACTGAGATATTTGCGCTCAGACAGTTTATTTAATCAGATACCTAATGAATAAGTTGTATTATTAATATTTAATTAAACGTTATTTGACAATATCAGTCTTATCTTGACAAATACTAGCCCCGCCCACCCACCCTTATTTTCTTAGAAGAGTAGGCCATCTGCCAAAATCAGTCTTATCTTGGCAAGTTTGAGACTGATTTTTGCAAATGACCTACTCTCTAAGAAAATAAGGGTGGGTGGGCGGGGCTAGTATTTGTCAAGATAAGACTGATTTTGGCAGATGACCCACTTTTCTAAGAAAATAATGGGTGGGTGGGCGGGGCTAATACTTGTCAAGATGAGACTGATTTTGGCAGATAACTTAATCTTCTAAGAAAATAAAGGCTGTGTGGATGGGGCTAGTACTTGCTAAAAATTAAAAAATTAAAAATGAAAAAATGGCAAATTGAAAAATCGGATAAATGAGAAATTGGAAAATTGTACAACTGTATAATCGGAAAATCAAAAACCGAAATACCAAAAAATTGAAAAAAAAATCTTATAAAATCGAATTCGAAATTTCAGTTTTCATTTTTTTTATTTTTTAGATATTTCAACTTTTGAATATTTCATTTGACAATAATTTGGTTGATAATTGTGCAGTTTTTATTTGCAATCTTTTAATTTTTCAAGTTTTAACTTTACAATTTTAGAATTTTTTGATTTTTAATTTTTCAAGTTTCCAAGTAAAAATTTTTCCTTTTCACGATTTGTCATTTTTCGATTTCTTAACTAAAAGAACAAATTCATTCGAACCGAAATTTTGAAAAGCCGAAAAATCCAAAAATTGAAAATTAGAAACAAAATTTTCAAAAGTTTTAATGTTACGATAAACATGGCAAATCTCTTCCAAAAACCCGGTGACAAAAAATCGAAAATTTAAAAAAATAGCATCTATCCAGTTGCTCAGATCAATCAAAAATCGAAAGACGGATCAAAAAATGGGAAATTTAAAAGGCGAAAAATTCGAAAGTTGAAAAAACGAAAAACTGAAAAATCTAGCATACGCTACGATAAGACTGATTTTGGCAAATGATCTTCTCTCTAAGAAAACAAACGGCGGGTGGGTGCTAACAGCACTTGCCAAAATCAGTCTTATGTTGGCAAGTGTGACACTGATTTTTGCAAATGATATATCCTCTAGGAAAATAAGGGTGGGTGGGCGGGGTTAGTATTTGTCAAGATAAGGCTGATTTTGGCAGATGACCCACTGTTCTAAAAAAATAAAGGGTGGGTGGGCGGGGCTAGTACTTGTCAAGATAAGGCTGATTTTGACAGATGACCCACTCTTCTAAGAAAATAAAGTAAAAAATCTAAATCTTATAAAACCAAATTCGAAATTCCAGTTTTCATTTTTTTTTAGTTTTTAGATTTTTCAACTTTTGAATATTTCATTTGATAATTTGTTTCAGTTTTGCAGTTTTTAATTCCAATCTTTTGATCTTTCGAGTTTTAAGTTTACAATTTTGGAATTTTTTGATTTTTAATTTTTCAAGTTATCAAGTTAAAATTTTTCCTTTTCACGATTTGTCGTTTTTCGATTTTTTAATTAAAAGAACAAATTTATTCGAACCGAAATTTTGAAAAGCCGAAAAATCCAAAAACTCAAAATTAGAAACAAAATTTTAAAATGTTTTAAAGTTACGGTACACATGGCAAATCACTGATCAAAATTACTTTTTACTCCCTTCCAAAGATCCGGTGACGAAAAATCAAAAATCGAAAATTAAAAAAAATAAACATATTTTTTCGATATTTTTAAAAATCAAATGATTGAGAAGAGTAGGGCATTTGCCAAAGTGAGTCTTATTTTGGCAAATACTAGCCTGGCCTATGCCCCTTGTATTTTCTCAGAGGATAGGTTATTTGGCAAGTACTAGCAAATTTCGACCCATTTTCGACGATTTTCGAAATTTAACTAAATGCTTTTTCTTGTAAATTTCGGGGCGCAGAAGTCACTGAATTTGTATTTTGCCTCTTTTTTATTACTTTAAACATAGTTAAAGTTTCTTCTTATGAAAACAAAACTACGTATGTTAAGAAAAACAGAGGCAAAATATAAGCCCCGCCCGCCCACCCTGTCTCAATTGTTACTAATTTTTCTGTTCGTCGTGAACCGGGAGGCGGAGTTTAATTGCCAAACTGATTTCTCTCAAGGAATTAGCGTGTAAAACAAGTTCTTAAGTAATTGTATTGTTCAAACAAAACTGTATATATTAAGTGAAAAAGAAAGCTAAAGATTAAGCCCCACCTATACCGTCCCCGATCTCAATTGTGATCAATTTTTCATTGATAAGGGGCAGGGCAAAATCCCAAAACCCACATAAGAATGCGAGCGCAGCGAGCACGTTCAGGTGTTATTAAAAATTACTGGTTAGCGTCCCTGAGAAGCTAAATTATTAATAAAAAAAATTGTTATTTTCTAGATTTTTTTTTCCTAGCATATATAGTTTCCTTTCAACATGTTATTTAGAAACATGTTTCACATAGTAGTTTATTGTAGAGAAATAGGCATTTTGCAGTAAACTCCGCCCTTCGACTCACAACGAATAAAAACGTTACCATAATTGAGATGAGGGCGGGTAGGCGGGGTTTGTATTTTCCCTTTTTTACTACATATTTTAAGTTTCTTCTTATGAAAACAAGACTACGTGTATTATTATTTAATCATGTTTTCATCAGCTGTATCCGTGACGGTGTTAGCCGTAGTTGTTGTATGAAGTTCCAGCAGAATTTTTCACACTTTTCAAAATAACTTCATTTTCACCAGTTGAGTTATTTGAAGTGGAAGTAGAAGGTTGAGGTGTAAAAAAACTTGTGACTTTTCGTCATTTTGCTAATATGAATGAAAATAAAATATAAGAAAACTTTCATGAATCGACTGCTTTAAACGAAAATGCCGATTATTGTGCCGTTTTGGAGTTACGTTCCGTTAAATTTGAAATAAAGTTGTTTGTTTAATATAAGAATGACACCTTCCTGCATATTCGTTCCTTCAAAGTAAACGGATCAAGTATTCATAGTAATAAAACTGATAAGCAAATCACTGGAATAAATAGACATAAATGAAATGGTGAACAATGCGAAGTTGAACGTATTAACGATTCCAGAAACAAAAATCTATTTCAGGTGTAAGGTTTTGTTAAAAGTTAACCTTAGTTCTTGAGATTTATTCTTATTTAAATTTAATTGGTTCGCAATAGACCAATCTTCAGCCAGCCAAGTAATCTTAAATTTTTTGTTATCAATATCTTGCTTAGTTTTAAATTTTTAGCGCTTATTATAGTATTGCCCACATACAAGGAAACATGTCTATCTATTAGATATTCAGGCAAATCATTAATATGTAAAACTGGCCCCAAAATAGAACCTTGCGGAACCCTGTACCAGGCGATTTTAACACAACCATATAATTTGTCATTAATTTGTCTCAAACATACAGTGTTATATCGATAAAGCGGAAGATTACCTACTACCTGAAGATACACACCACCCCTCACTGCTTATTTCTTTGGAATATCATCAACCAAAAGTAAAGGTTATAAGTAACTCTAAATCTTCACAAAAACGCTGGAATTTTCGTAGAGCTGACTTTCCAGATTTATATCGTCATTTAGATGAGATAAGTGGGTCTTTCTTGGAGAACGTTAAAGATGTTAATACTGCTTGCTGCCTCTTTTATAACAAACTTAATAGCTTATTGGATCTTTATGTACTCAAATGTAAGCATTATTGTAATATTTTTTTTTCCACCATGGTTCAGTTGTAGTATTATTAGAAAAATCAAGCGGAAATGGAGACTATGGCGTAAATATAAATCCCACAAAAACCAACTAAATCTACAGCATTTTAAAACTATTCGTAACGAGCTTAAACATGACATCAAAATCGCGTATCAGTTGTATACTCAAAATATGGAAACCACTATTAAGACCGCTCCAAGAAAATTCTGGGCGCATATTAGTCGTCTGAAAATGCGTTCTGGTATACCTTCTGAAATGATTTATTTGGATAATATTTTGCGTAATCCCAAAGACATTGTAAATGCCTTTATGGAACACTTTCACTCCAGTTATTCGGATTTTAGTCCAAGTTCTATTGATGAGTTTTTTGATGAGTCCAGCAATAATTCCATTAATTTTATTTCGGTTACGGAATCCAACGTCTTTGAAACCTTGATGACTATCAAACCTAATATGACTAGTGGCCATGATAATATACCAGGTTTTTTATTACATGACTGTGCCTCACTGTTTTCTTATCCTTTATCAGTTATATTTAATATTATTTTGAAAACTGCATCGTTCCCAGACGTCTGGAAATTATCTGTGATCTCACCAATTTTTAAGAAAGGGGAGAGACATTTAATAGAGAATTACCGACCCATCTCAATGATTTGCAATTTTTCAAAGATTTTTGAGATGATTCTTCATAAATTTCTCTCATTTAATGTGCACAATTGGTTAACGGAATCCCAACATGGATTCATAAGTGGTCGTTCTACTGTAACGAATTTGAGTTGTTTCACCCAATTCGTAGCCAATAGTTTCGATGCTAAACACCAGGTGGACGTGATATATACTGATTTTTCCAGGGCGTTTGACAAACTCAACCACAGAATTCTACTGATAAAATTACGCAACTTTGGCTTCTCCGATTGTTTACTGAAATTAATGGCATCTTACCTAACTGGTAGATATCAATGCGTGAAGTACCTTCAACATCAATTTGAAAAAATTTTGGTCCCGTCCGGCGTCCCACAGGGCTATGTTCTAGGTCCGCTACTTTTCAATGTCTACATCAACGATGTTATTAAAAACATTAGTTCTCAAGTTTTAATTTACGCAGACGACCTAAAAATCTTTCGTGTCATTATTAATGTTGAAGACTGTCAAATTCTACATGATACCTATAAATTTTGGCAAATGTTTCATTTTGTCTCTAACAAATAAAAGTTGTAAGCTTAGTTTCAATTACACTATTAACTTGAATATCTTATCAAGAGTGGATTCCTTCAGAGATCTTGGAATAATGTTTGATTCTAAACTCACGTTTTCTCTACATATTAGTAATATAATTGCTGAAGCGTTTAAATCCCTTGGGTTTATCATCAGATCGTCCAGTTCTTTCAATAACATCACTACTTTTAACACGTTATATTGTGCTTTCGTAAGATCAAAACTTGAATACGCCAGTATTGTATGGGCTCCGTCAGCTCAATTTTACATTCAATCTATAGAAAAAATCCAGAGGCGTTTTCTCAAGTTTTTAGCATTCAAAATAGACGCTAATCATCCTCCTAGAGGCCCACCCTAATCTGACCTGTTGATCAGATTTGGATATAACGACTTAAAGGCTAGACGTATCAGAGCTTCTGTATATTTTCTTAAAAAACTAATACATTATGGCATCGATTGTCCACAGCTTTTGGAACAGGTTCACTGTTGGGTTCCCAGGCCATCATCGCGCCTTCAACAACTTTTCTATCTGCCGACGCCAAGGATTGACATTCAGAAATCCTCTCCTCTACATGAAATGGGCTCTAACTATAACTGCCATGAAAACATGTTAGATTTCTTTAAGTAAAAATTCCTGGCTGCTCTTTAATTATTAATCTCTAATTACGCGTTGACTTTAGATTTCACCTTGTATAGGGACAACAGTAATTTATAGCTGTTGATTGAGAGAGATCAATTTGATGATCCGCTAACCGTTGGTCTATAATTGGGTATTACATGTTGACCAACTTACACACATAATAATAATAATAATAATATAGGTAGTGGCGAAATCGGTCTGTAGTTATTTTTCTCATGAGCATCTCCTTTTTATAAACTGGTAATGCGGATGCAATTTTCGAACAATCAGGAAATGTTTTGTTATCAACACAAAAGTTTCTTTAACAGTTTTTAAAATTCCAGTGGAAAGGCCAAAAATAATTACACCACCATGAACATGTCGCACTCTAACAAAGCGGTCCACTATAATTGTCCAATTTGATAGTTGCTGCCTCCTCTTCCTTGAGCCAATTTTCACAAACACCTAATCCACTAAAATAAATTGCCAATCAAACTTGCATCTAGAATATTGACTTTATTTGGTAGACACTGAACATTTATAAAGGGTCATTTCAGGTCCCTTATTTCCTTTTTACCAGTCGATTGCTATATGGAATATCTCGTCTTGCCCTTGCTTCGCATGTACATAGCTTATGTACCAGACGAAGAAGATGAAAACAAAAGTAAGATGAGATTTGCAAAAGAAATATGATGTTATTTGTCTTTCAATAATGACTACCCCAAAATTAAAACTTCGTGATGCGGTTTGAAGGAAAGACAGTCGGTGAACAATTAGGAATATTTAAAAAGAGCAAAACAGCACCAAATTTTTGGATTTAGCGTCAACTCCTTGAAAGATCTCAATGACGAAGGATGGACGAAATTTTTGTGGTTGTCCTTTCGTGGTAGAAGACAGCGAAGCAACTCGCAAGGCTATAAGTCTATGCGAACGAAAAAAGTTTATCTTTTTTAATGCGAAATCGGTTGTGACTCATTTCGTCTTTCGTCCTTTTCGTAGTTTGAAGAAATGGAAGATTTTGTACAATAGGATATCGTCAACGTTTATTTGTTCTATTCAAGGTAAACGGGAGATTAGGTTGGAAGATTTAATCGTCAAGAGGGAGAAAATCGTCGGTATTTTGGACCTAGACAAACTTGAGAGCGACAAAACGAAGTTCTTCCACAACTTTGTAAAACACAGAGAAAAACTCCTTACATTCAAAGCTTCACTTTTGACGGGAAATTCAACAAGATTTGGTTTTTCTTTGATTTGATTTTAGCAAAAAAATCGCCAATTCACGTTGCTGAGTTACACATGAACCACCAACACCTTCAGTTTTTGAGATGGTTCAACTGGTGATTGAGTGAAGAGCACCTTTAAACTGTGATGATAACTGCGGAAGAATGCCTGTTCATCTACTTTTTTGCCAACGGTCACAACGTCATTGCGATCTTTGTAAAACTGACGTTAAAAAAACCAACAAAATGGTATAACAAACACATCAAAATGGAAGTCAAGAAAAAGAAGACGAAAAAAATACTTAAACTACAGTGAGTGTAAAAACTAAGGGAACCAGTTGAAATTTTGGTAAAAAAGACAAAAATCGAGAAAACGATTTGTTGCTATTAGATTACTTTCAATTCTTATCTCTTTTACAGAATTTTGCATCCAGTTACCGACGGTATTTGGTCCAACCGGACAATTTTTGAACCATTTCCCAAATTGTTACCGAGCAAGATTTGGTATTAAGAAAAGCCTGTCAGTTTTGGTATCTTCTGATAAATGCTAATATGACATATTCTGGAGCCAAATTGTGCTGTCTTGTCAAATATAGAATCGTATTCTAACCTTCCTGTCTCTTTTCCATAATTATTAACAGCAAGAAAAAATTCATCTATATGGGTTTATTAAAAAACTGCAAAATTACAATCATGCCACAACAAAAAAATTCTTCAGTTTCTAATTTGTGTCGTTTCATTAAATGTCGGCGGAGTAGCACGTTCTCTAATTTTAGTGCGTAAAAAGTCATATATTTTCCTAGTACTTGACACCTCTAGAGGTGTTCGTCCGTTTGCGTCCACCAAGTAGATATTTGCACCACGTTCGACCAAATGTTTCACACCCATGTAGAACCCATCTTCACAAGCTAGATGCAAGGGCGTCTTGCCCATCGTCCCAAAAACATCCAACACTGCTCCACTATCAATAAGCAGAATTAATATTGCCAGATTCCGGGATACATAGACGTTATGTAGCGGTGTGTTGTTATAGTGGTCTGCAGCGTTCACTTGGGCACCAAACTCTATCATCCGTTCCGTCGATCCGTAGAAGCCTACGCTTACGCAGAAGTGTAGTGGAGTCTTGCCTTCATCGTCTCTACTATCCACAAAAACCCCTTTCTGTATCAAAAATGTTATTATGTCAACGTCGCCCCCCATACAAGCAGCATGAAGAGAGGTTTTCCCAGTGAAATTAACATCGTATACGGAAGCTCCCCTTGCCTCCAAAAGAAATACGATTTCGCGCTGGTTTTTCATACACGCTAGATGCAAAGGTGTCCACCCTTCACCGTTTTTGGCATTCACATCGACGTCCGTCTCCAGCAAAAGTCGGACAATCGCATCAAGTCCATGTCGACAAACCAAATGCAAGGCTGTATTTCCTGAAATATCAGTCGTTTTGGGATCGGCGGTTCCACATTTTAGCAAGATCGTAGCACACCCCACTCGTCTATTCCGACACGCCAAATGCAGAGGCGTCTCCCCGTTCAAGTCTCTGCCATTAACCTCAGCCCCAGCTCTTATTATCAGCGCCTTAGCAATACTCTGGAACCCCTTCTCACACGCTATGTGGAGCGCAGTCTTCCGGGAAGAATCCTCCACGTTGACTAAGGGCTTCTTCCGCAGCATTGTATTCACCACCACTGCCATCCCGTCTTCGCAGGCTTTGTGCAGAGGTGTCTGCCCATTTTCAATTCTGATGTTTAGAGAAGCCCCATACAAAGTGAGAACGTGGACGGTTTTGTAGTTGCCCCTTTCACAGGCGTAAGAAAGAGGTGAGTGGCCGTCCAAGGTCATGGCGTTTACTTGGGCGCCCTTCGTGATCAAGAATTTGACGACGTGGGGGTAGTCCTTCATGCAAAGCACGTGCAAGGGAGTGTTGCAGCGTGCGTCGAGGGCGTTGGGGTCGGCGCCTCTTTCGAGAAGTATCGCTATAATGTCCATGTTCCCTCTTATGCAAGCTGCGTGGAGTGGGGTTAGTCTTAATCTGCTTCTGACGTGGATGTTCTCACCTTCATTGAGGAGGGATCTGACCTTGACCCTGTCATTTATGACACAGGCTGTATGGAGTGAACTCCATTTGCCTGAAAATGGAATCGAAGTGGTAATGAGAATGTTTATGAGTAATTGGGTGGTTTATGGGAAGACAGGTTATATCAGGTCAGGTCAAGTCATGTCAAGTTAGGTCAGGTCTTAATTAACTAGAAATATTTGTATGCATACAAAATACTTGTTTTATAAAAAATGGGAGCATGAGAGCTGAAAATTTGTTAACAATATAAGAAATCTTTCAGCAATCGACTGCTTTAAACGAAAATACGGATTCTTGTGCCGTTTTGCAGTTTGGAAAAAAAGTTATGTCTTTAACTTTA